TGTGGGGTGATTTCTCACTTTTTATCTCTCTGTCTCTGTCTGTCTGATGAGTGCATGCACCCTAGAGAAAAAAAAAGAAAAAAAAAACTCTTAAAAAAAAAATAGGGACTGCGAGACCAGCAGTTGGTATGGTGGTTAAGGTACTGGCCACATGGCTGACCATGGTTTGAGTTCAGACTCTGTCTCTCTGTCTCTCTCCAGCGAGTGCACATGCCCCATGACAGAAACCTAAAAATAAACATATTAATTAATTAAATAGGGACTAGTATTAGTCCTTCAGTGTTTGAAGTGAAGAATAGAGGAGTTAGTGGCTAACAAGCCCACAGAACAGGACCTGGCATGTAGGAAACTCTTTGAAATACTAGTTTGTTCATATTATTGTATCATGGAGCCTTCATACTTTTTTCTCCTTTATTCGTGATAGAGCATATGCATTTGTATGTGCGTGTGAAAGAGAGAGAAGGGAGCATTTTTCACAAGGTCTGAACATGCTGTGATCCCCTTCTTCAAGCCTCTAGGATCTTGGGCACACTTGGGCATGAGACTAGTATGTTTCAGGCTGACCAGGTTGGGAACTACGAACCAGTCACCATGTGGGATCCAGCATCTCTTGAGCAGCACATTTTCACTGCACCATAAAACCAGCCCTTATCCTTCATACTTTTGAGTAGCTTCTATCAAATATTTTACAGAAGGACCGGCAGATGGCATGGTAGTTAAGGGTGCTGGACTCCTACATGGCCGACCATGGTTTGAGTCCCAGACCTGGTAGCTTGCTTTCTCACTTTCCCTTTCTCTTTCTCTTTCTGTCTGTCTCTGGTCAAATTGAATGAATAAATAAAGTTAAATAAAGTAATTCTTTAAAAAAATATTTTACATGGGAACCAGCAGTTAGCGTAATGGCTATGTCGCTGGACTCCTATGTAGTCGACCGCGGTTCGTGTCCCAGACCCAGTGGCTTAAAACTCACGCCGGGCGCGTGTGCGTGCATGCCCAAGATCCCG